CCCTTGTGGTCTCTTCCAACTCTATGATTCTATGATTCTATAATACAATTTTAGCATTATCATGGGTCATAATTAAAGAATTTAATGAAAATCACACTTACTGGGAGGGGGGGAGATGTATCAGTCTCCATGTTACAGAGGAACAGCCTTCTAGAAGACATACTGATGGGATTTTCTAATACTTCAGAAAACAAGGTAAATCACAAAGGCTGCATCTGCACTGCAGAAATAATCCACTTTGACACCACTTTAGCTAACATTGAGCATGGCTCAATGCTACTCAATTTTGGGAAACCTTTAGCCTTCTCTGTCAGACATCTCTGGTACCACAATGAACTACAATTTCTAAAATTCCATTACGTGAGCCATGGCAGCTAAAATGGTGTCAAACTGGATTATTACTTTAGTGCAGAAGCAGCCAAAGTAATGTAAATTATTTAGTAGACAGTTGAGGACCAGTCTACTTGAAGGAATCACTGCTTCCATATATTCCTGTCTGATTATTGTCATCTTTGAAGGGTCTTCTTTTGGTGCTCCCATCCACCCTGGTGTGATAGATGGCTACCAGTGAAATACCATTTTCTGCAATGTCCTTCCACTCCCCAATCCAAGGAAAGCTTCTCAAGAGAGATCCATTTAGATATCTAGCTAAGACCTTCTTTTGGCAGTCACTCAATACTAGATAGATTTTTTTTCTGTCTCTTTTTGCTATTTAAACTGTCTCTTAATATTCTAATATTTTAACATTTTTACACTGTTTTTGGTTGACTGACATGTTTTTACTGTAACATTTTTGATTTTCTGGATTTCTTTTAGCTTTATATTTGTAAAGTGTCCAAGAGCATTGTCAGTCAGGCAGTACGTAAAGATTATAAATAGACAAATAAGCCAATATGTACTTTTAATTCCCAAAATGAAATGTGAGGATTGTTGTATGGGCAAATCCTATCATTCCGTGAAAGTGTCATAGGATTCAGAGAAACTCTTCCTAAGCAGCTAGTGCAGGCCTGCACAACATACGGCCTGGGGGCCACATGCGGCCTGCCAAAGTCTTTTGGGTGGCCCACGAGGATGTGGAACAACGTCAAAGCTCCTCTGCTGCTCTGTCTTTTTCTGAGGAGACAGCCGTGCAGAGGAGGAAGGGCAAATGCTCACCCTTACAGGCTCCTCTACTGCCTGGCTTTCTCCTGAGGAGAAGACTGGGCAACAGAGGAGGAAGAAGGGCAAACACTTGCCCCTCGAGGCTCCTCCATTGCTCGGCCTTCACTCGAGGAAAGAGAAGGATGGGCAAGGCTCCTCTGCCACTTGGCTTTCTCCCGTGGAGAGGGCCACGCAGAGAAGGAGGACAATGACATAATAATAATAATAATAATAATAATAATAATAATAATAATAATAATAATAATAATAATTTTATTAAAACGTATCTGTGGCCCAAAGAAGTTTAGTTTTGGCTACCTACTGCCATGTTGTGCAGGTCTGAGCTACTGTGTCCTCCCTTCTTCCACTAACGGTTGAAAATCCTAGATAAAAGTTCAAGTGTTATTTATCTTAAATATTTATACTAATCTACATCCATACAAACCATAATGTAAACCAGGGGTCCCCAAACTATGGCCCGCAGGCTGAACCTGGCCCGTCGAGGCCTTTGAACCAGCCCACGGCTGGTCCTGCCACCACCGCCATTGTGCGGCCGCTGCCGCGCAGCGCCATTTTGTCTTTCAAAATAGCGCCTGGCATCACACGCGCATGCGCATGACTCCGGGTGCCATTTTGGAACACAAAATGGCACCGGAGTAGTGCTGCATGTGCGTGCGATGCCAGGCACCATTTTGTGTTCCAAAATGGCGCCCAGAGTCATGCGCGTGTGCATGGCATCGCGCGTGCATGTGCACGACTCAGGTGCCATTTTGTGTTCCAAAATGTTGCCCGGAGTCGTGCACATGTGTGCGCAACGCCAGGCTCATGTGCATGACTCCGGGCACCATTTTGGAACACAAAATGGCGCCCGAGTAGTGCGCATGCACGCGCACCTCTGGCCCTCCGAAGGTCTGGGGGCCAGCAAACTGGCTCCCAGCTCAAAAAGTGTGGCGACCCCTGATGTAAACTCTCTTTCTGCACACAAAAATGCAGAGATACACAAACATGCACATACACTACCATCCCCATCATCATCTTTACCACCATCATTCATGCAATGAGCCTGAGGAAACCATTCCCAAGCTGTCATAATCACTCAGCATTCGAGACATTAGGCCATAACCTGAACCTAATTTGCCTGAACAGTCCACTATCCAGGTGTAACAATGTCTAAATTCCAATCTGTTCACACAATAAACATATATCAATCTGAAGTTGCAGAAACACAGTCAGCAGTCCCTAACAAAATCACGTATGCTACAGCTGGAATAACAACAGAAGAGTTAGTATGTTTGGTGTATGTTGTGTGCCTTCATTTTGTTTCCAACTTGTGGCCATCTTACCACAGTGTATTCTTGGCAAGATTTGTTCAGAGTTCGTTTGCCTTTGCCTTCCTCTGAGGCTGAGATAATGTGACTTACCTAAGGTCATCTAATACTCAAGCAGAGATTCAAACCCTGGACTTCAGAGTCGCTGAATCAAAACACTGCACCAAGCTAGCTTCCAATGGTGTCCTAATTCCCACAGAGAAATAGAGAACCAATATAGATGGGGTGTGAACCAGTCAAAGACTGATAGGTTTTACATTAATTATTTCATTATCTTCAAATAGCAACAATGAGAACAGTTGAAGGATGTTTTCCCAAACTAAACTTATATCTCCACCTCATAAGACGGCATTTACCAGAATTATATAACTACTGTAATGTGGTACATCTGGTGAGACTTCAGAGATGGTGACAATATCAACATCATCATAATCTCCTGCAGACATGGCATTTCAAGCTGCTCTAGAAACTTGGAAAGTTTCACAATTTTTTACACTCTTAATAAGCACAGTGATGCTACTGGATCGAAAAGAGTTTTCTAAACTGTTAGTAGATTTTTTTAAAAGAAAAAAAAGACATGGTTTGTTCAAATTTTATATATACATCGTACAAGATTTGTGGGTCAAGGGACCAATTTTCTGCCACTGGGACCACCCAAACTGCCCAAAATGCAAAGAAATAAATAAAGAATTGTCAAGTATCACACCTCTGGTTTTGAAAAAGTTCTTTTAATTAATTAAACAGTGTAGCAGGGGAACCCTGGTACCTATTTAAAATGTAAATATAAAATGTAAATCACTGTCCTGTCTGGGTTGCTTTAAATCTCCTTAAATATTCACATTTCCTCTCCCTGTAGATCCTTTCATTAGCCACCAATTCAAGCCAGGGCCCATTTCAAACTTTTGGTTCTTGTATCTAGGGTTCTTTACTCTGATCTCCCCCAGTACCTGGCAGCTATGCTATGCACCATCTGGAAAGTTAAGATCCACAGGCAAAGGATTATTGTCTGTTTTACCAATGTGCACAGCTCTATCAAGGCTGCATGCTTTTCAAGATCTGGCTCGGTATTTCTGGAAAGGTCTGCTTCCTCCGGACCTCTGGCTGGAGGAGAAGTTCACCTGTTTTCATAAGGGGCTGAAGTTCTTCATCTTTGATTCACCAAATTAAGCTGCTGAATTATGTCTGAGCTTGCTGGGGTGGGTAGTGGCTGGTAGGATCTTGAGGCTTTTATGTACATTTATAGAGTTCTGTTTTATTGCCTTTGTCTCTGACTATATATGTTTGATGTTCCAACCTTTGGTAGAAAGGTTGTTATTGCTCCTGGATATCATTGCTTCTGGAGGCTTCCAGCAGAGTCAGTTCATCCTTCGGTTGCCAAAAAATGGTTGGTCTGGCTGGATGAGATCAGGTGCTTTACTCACCTCTGTAAAATTTGCATGACTTTAGGTTTATCATTTTCTCACCAGTAGATGGCAGCTTGAGAACACAAACTGACAACTGCCAGGCAATTTATTTCCAAAATACCTTATCTTGTTTTGTACCTTCAAGTGTTTCTGAGTTATGGCAACCCTAAAGTTAATCTAAAGGTGAATCCATCAAGGGTTTTTCTGGGGCTGAGAGTATGTGACTCAACCAAACCTAGTGGGTTTCCACAGCCCAGTAGGGATTTGAACCCTGGTCTCCAGAGTCCTAATCCAGTTCTCATACCACTATACTACACTGGCTTATTTTTTTATTATGTTTTAATTGTGTTATTATATTGTTTTTAACTAAACTGGCATTTGATTGCTTGTTACCATATGCAACAAAATAAATCCAGAAGTGTTTGGTTTCTATATCCTTCAAAGCATGAATTCACATGTTAAATACAGAACAGCTTCAAAGCCAGAAGTTTAAATATCTTGTGTTTCCCAGTGCCTCCAAAGATCATTATTTGTAATTTGCTTCTAAATTGGGAACAGAGAATTAAACAAAGTGTTTCTAGTTCTCATCAAAGCTGAAGATTCAATCCAGATTCCTGGCTTCTCCACCAAATCAAATAACAATGAGTAGCAGTCCAAAAGCAAAGAATACAAACCAGAAAATACTGCAAATTGCAAAAAAGATTACAAAACAGCAGGTTCTGGGTTATAACAACATATAGGCCATGATCCCAGATCAAAATGTAAGGCAGCTGTAAGGCTCTGGAGATGCTTTAACTGTTTACTGACTTGGAGCAGATACCAGGAGAGGTAACCAGACAACCACCCAGATTGCAAATGTGCGACCGGGGAAGAGGGACAAAGCAGTCTCAGAACCAGGACAGCAACCTCATTTCTTTTTCCCAGCTCCAAAACTATACTTGCCCACCCCTACAGCTCATGAAAAGCAGCCCAGGAGTCGGACAGCTGTGTTGGGAGGGATGGTTTTGAATGCTTCATGACAATCCGAAACAGGCAAACACATGTGCATGTCTGAAGTTATGTGCATGTAGGATTCCAGCCACTTTTTTGACACACAAAGATGTGTTATAAATGAGCCATACTATTCATTATATACCGGCATACCTCAGCAAACAAAGCCTCTGACAAATAAACTCCTTTTTACTAAGCCTTTTTATAACCATCGCAATCCTGATTTTTCGTAGTCAAAGGGAGACCTCCATAAGTGACTTAAGGAAACATGGTGTAGCAGTTTCAGTGTTGGACTATGACTCTGGAGACCAGGGTTCAATGGAAGGATGGTGGTAGAAAGCTAGAGAAACACAGACTTTTGGTGTCTGGTTGCCAGAGCATGTCCACAGGAAACAACACAATAAACCTTGAGCTGGGAAAGAATGCAATTCTGTTCTAGATGATCCCACTGTAGTCATGTGCGTGTGTATACAACAGGCAAAGTAAACAACAGCTGCCTTGTGAGTATATGGGAACAACAAAACAGAGAGAAAAGGAGAGTCCAAATAGGCCTGCCTCACCACCTCCAAAAGCATGTTTAAAAAGCACAGGTCTGTCAGTCTGGCCACTAAAATAGAAACTGTAAGAAAAGTGGAGGCTGGTAAAATAAAAAGGTCATCCTGGATGCATTTTGGACAGTCTTCAGGTCATCCAGAAACTCAAAATGTTCTTGTTTACATATGAAAAGTTTGCCTAACCTGGTTGGTTGTTTCCAATGTGCATATTTTTACTTTTGAATTAAAAACTGTGCTAAAACAAGCTGAACTGCTCTTTTTTTTTTTTTTTTTTTTTTTGGTGTTGGTGCAGGAACTTATTCCTAGTCTCTGCATGTTCTTCTTACATCTGGTACCAGATTTTCTGTTAAAGATGTAATGCTCAGAAACACATCAACCTCCCTAACTGAGGTATACTTGTTGACTATTTTATTTGACTAGTTTAATGCTCACTCTTGGGCAGATTTCCTTCCTAGCCTTTGCATTTCATGCTGGGCTTATTTTCAGAAGAATGGAAATCTCCACTACATGCTGTGATAAATTTGCTGGGAACTTCAGGAAGAAAGTTGCCCATATTCACTCAGAACTTGATGCCACAGTGATCATTATGTCTGGGGAAGTTTCTGATATTCATCAGCTGGGGGTTTAGTACCAAACCTGTCTTTTGGTGCCAAACTAAAATATGGCCTAAGGATCTTATCTTGAATCTGTTAAAGCAAATAGTGATACATTGTTTTACACTATTCTTGTGTATCTTATGAAAAGAAGTACTATATAATATTTTAATAAATTATTTAATTTGAATCCTGTCAAATGAAGATGTCAGGAACTGAATCAGAGATCATATGAATAAAACAGTTCACAAAAGTTCATGTTCAAATAAATGTTAGTATTTAAAGTACCAAAGGACTCTGTGCTCCATCACTGTGCAAAGCTTAAAGGATTATGGGTGTGTGTGTGTGTGTGTGTGTGTAGACATCTGATTTATTTGCACATTTTATTCAAAGGACATAATTTGTATGGGATTCACAGAAACAAAGAAAGTGCAATTTGAAACCAAATTATTCTGCAGTCCTGACATTCGTTCATCCTTCCACATGGTGAAGCAGATTTTAGGTGTACACAGAAAGACTGTATTTTCATTATGTCATCAACTGATTCCCGAACCCGGGAATTGAGTTATGTCAGCCAGTTCTGGATGGCGTCACACTTCCCCTGAAGGACTCTGTCCGCAGCTTGGGGGTGCTCCTTGACTCGTCGCTCCACTTGATAGCTCAGGTGGATGCGACAGTCAGGAGCTCCTGTTATCAGCTTCGGCTGATACGCCAGCTGCACCCCTTCCTGGAGCAGGGAGACCTTGAAACAGTAGTACATGCACTGGTAACCTCTCAATTAGAGTTCTGCAATACGCTCTACATGGGGCTACCCTTGGGCCAAGTTCAGAAACTTCAACTTGTACAAAATATGGCAGCCAGATTGATTACAGGTACTTCCTGTAAT